TTTGGGCTGCTGCACACATTTGTTGTTCATCTGTTCGCATCTCCAGCGACTGCCAGGCCACTGTGCTCCCCGACTGGGACATGCACTCATTCTAATTTCTGTAGCCTCGTTCCCGTAACTGTACCCAGAGCCCTGCCTGTAAGAGAGCCCAGGGAACACCTTCTTTTATGGGACCGAGTCTTGGAGGCTGTGCCTGGCTGGTCCAGTCTGACGTGGGATCTTCCCTCTTCATGATCGAGTTGAAGGGGAAGGACAGCTGGGGTTCAGCAGATCCAGACCTGGCCACCCTGTTTACTTGAGAAAGCAAAGGAGCGACCTGGAAACACACGTCTTGGTAGGAACACGGAGTGCAAAGCCGTGCCCCGCCTCGCATCAGAAAAGGCTCACAATCCTCCTATTTGGCCGAACAATGAAGTCAAGTTTTCCCATAACCAGATCCACCGGCAGGGCCCTGCCAAGAGCAGCAGCTCACTTGCCAGTTCACGGAGTCTTCTAAAATAGTATTTTATGAACGTCTTTTATTTCACTTTCAGTGGACGTTTCTGGTCAGCCCGCTGCGAGCCAGGGCTCCGCGAGGCGCGGCGGTGGCCGAGGGTGCAGCCGCCGAGGGCTGGGCCGCGCGAGTCAGCTCTTCTCTACTTGTTACTGTTACTGTTTCCAAGATAAGAAAAATCACTCTCTTGATGTTGACGTCCATCTAGAATCTAGAGTCTAGATGCCGTTTATTTTAGAAAAATGACCCAGACTGAAATCGCAATGACCAAGTCCAGGTCCCACCCCATCACCTCACAGTGTCGCCTCGGGATAACTCTAGCCTTCATTCTGATTCTGTACCTTGGGATGAGGTTAAATCCCCGTTGACCTAGAAGTTACCAAAATAAAGGACGGTGGCAGTCCTGTGCGGTATTCTCAGTACAGATGCTGCCCGCGCCCAGCGGGGGAATGTCTTACGATGGCTTTGAGCTTCTTTCTGTAGACAGAGCGTTGAACAATTCAAGGCCATTTTGACTTTCTTTTTCTAAGAGTAGCATCTAGATGGGTTTATGTAATTCTAGCATTTTCTATAACTTGTTCTCTGGCTGTGTAAGATATTACAGAAAATGATAGTATAGTTACGTGTCTGGCTTTTTACTTGATGGATTTGTATCATCGTTAACGGGTAATTCTTTTCCAAATAGCTTGCAAAGGCAGGGAAACAATACTGGCCAGTCAGCTGTCCTTCAACCTACTTTGGCTTGCCTTTGCAAGAGTCGGATGGGTGGATAATGTCCCACGGTGTACATCCTCTAAAACAAGTTACCCCTTCCCAGTCTCCTCCTGTGGCTCTCCGCTCAGAGCAGAGGGGTGGAAAGCTTCAGAAGAGCAATTGAGCGATGAACGGTAGACCTCTTAATATCTATTTTCGTTGTCTAGGGTTGCTGTAAGAAAGCCCCACAGACTGGGTAGCCTGAACAGCAGAAAGTGTTATCTCACGGGTCTGGAGGCTCCACGTCTGAGGTCAAGACGTTGGCAGGGTTGTCCTCCCGAGGGCTGGGAGGGAGGATCGGTCCCATGCCTTTCCTGTAGCTCCCGGTGGTGTGCTGGTGACCTTGGTGCTCCTGGGCGCGTAGAAGCATCATCCCCAGTCTGTGTCTTCATGTTCACATGCGGCCTCCGTGTCTGCGTGTCTGGGTCCACATCCCCCCGAACTTTTAAGGACACCAGTCATATTGGATTAAGGTCTTGTTCTAATTACCTCTTGGTAGCTAATTAAATCTGCAATGACCCTATTTCCAAACAAGGTCACTGGGTGTTAGGGCTTCAACATAAAATTTGGAAGGGACACAATTCAACCTATAACAATATCTCAAATTGATTTTTTGTTGCGATGTTTTAGGTTTCTATAATTCTCACTAAGAACTAACCAGATGAAAGACTGGATTGTGGTACTATACCATTTTAAATAAGTGGTATAGTACTTTTGTTTTACGAAACGAGAGTCGTGTCTCAGCTAGATTTGAGGAAGCACAAGGAGTTTCAAGTGCTTGCTGTTTTTACTGAATTCAGGTGAAATAATGATTTAATGGGTTCCTCTCTGTTAGGCATTGAACTAGGTGCTGAGAATGTACAAATGCAATGCTTGGTCACTGTCCTTAAAGAGTTAGTGAAGGAGCCCTGGCCGGTTTGGCTCAGCGGTTAGAGCGTCGGCCTGCAGTCCAGAGAGACCCGGGTTCGGTTCCCACTAAGGACACGTATCTCGGTTGCATTTTGTCCCCGGCCCTGGTTGGCAGGGCCGTGAGGGTGGCAACCACTCGATGTGTCCCTTTCACATCGATGTTTCTCTCTCTCTCTCCCCCACTCTATCTGAACAAAATATCAAAAAAAAAAAGAGTTAATGAAGGAAACACACATATAGCCAAATACATTCTGTGCAATGAGTGAACTTATGTACATAGAACAATATGTTAAAGTACAAAAGAACACAGTCAACTTTGGGGTGGGTTCAAGGAAACTGTGGGGACTTCTCAAGGATAATAGGGACTCCCCTCAGCAAGACCCTAAAGGGAAGTAGAGATTTCTCCCCAACATACAAGGGCCGGGACAACACTTGGACAGAAAGAACGTGTTCCAGGACACACGCGTGGCTTGGGCAAGAGTGAGGAGTGAACGAAGGGAAAGGCGGGAACCAAGTGCTCAGGGAAAGCAGGTCACCTTGGGCAGAAGAGGCCTGCCTGCCCATGTGAGCTTAGCGTGAAAGAAGCAACATGGGTGTGATTGTGGGTTCATGTAGGAGTGTGGGTACATGTATGAGTTATTAGTGATTGTGGGTTCATGTATGAGTTATAAGGGATTGTGGGTACATGTATGAGTTATAAGTGATTGTGTACATGTATGAGTTATAAGTGATATGGGTTCATGTATGAGTTATAAGTGATTGTGGGTTCATGTATGAGTTATAAGTGATTGTGGTACATGTATGAGTTATAAGTGATTGTGGTACATGTATGAGTTATAAGTGATTGTGGGTACATGTATGAGTTATAAGTGATTGTGGTACATGTATGAGTTACAAGTGATTGTGGTACATGTAGGAGTTATAAGTGATTGTGGGTACATGTGTGAGTTATTAGTGATTGTGGTACATGTATGAGTTACAAGTGATTGTGGTACATGTATGAGTTACAAGTGATTGTGGTACATGTAGGAGTTATAAGTGATTGTGGTACATGTAGGAGTTATAAGTGATTGTGGTACATGTATGAGTTATAAAAAAGTGGTTCCGAGTTGAAGATGTCAGGCTGAAGTTCTCAGTTGTTATAGGAAATTTCCACGGCTAAATCATCTTTCTTAAATGTAACTCTGTGTACCATTGTGCTGCTTAAAACCCTGTAATAGCTTCACCTTGACATTTTGGATCTAGTCCAGGATTCTTAGCAGGAGGGAGAGACCCTCCACACTGGAAATCCTCTTTGCGTGTGCTCCTCCTTGCTCTCTCTGCTCTGCCGTACCACCTCCTAGAAAACTGCAGGCTGTCTCCCGCTTCGGGGGCATAGCCCGTGCCTGGAGCAGGGTCTTCCCGTCGTATGCCTCCTTCCCTGTCACCGGATCAGGCTGATGGTGAACAGTGGCTTATTCCGAAGGACCTTTCTTGCTTGGTCCCCACTCCTGGCCCCAGCTGCTATCGACCCCCGGCACCGCTGTCCACTTAGCATTCACTTCAGTCTTCTTTTCCCAATGGGCAGGAGGCTCCAGCAGGGGTGAGGAACCTTTTATCTGCCAGGAACCATTTGGATACTTATAACATCATTCGAGGGCCATACAAAATTATCAACTTAAAAATTAGCCTGCTAGCCCTGGCCGGTTAGAGCGTTGTCCTGTGGGCCAGTGAGTCACGGGGGTTTTTTTGTTGTTGTTGTTGTTTTTGTTTGTTTGTTTTTTAAATATTTTTTCTTTATTGATTTCAAAGAGAGAGAGAGATAGAAACATTGATGAGAGAGAACATCGACTGGCTGCCTCCTGCCTGCCCCCACCTGGGATCTGGCCTACAACCCGGGCATGTACCCTGACAGGGAATCGAACCAGGGACCTCTTGGTGCATGGGTTGATGCTCAACCAGTGAGCCACACAGACCAAGCGAGTCTTGAGTTTGATTCTAGTCAAGGGCATGTACCTTGGTTGCGGTTCGTCCCCAGCACTAGGGTTGTGTGGATGGCAACCAGTCGGTGTGTCTCTCTCGTGTCGATGTGTCGATGTTTCTCTCTCTCTCTCTCTCTCTCTCTCCCTCCTTCCCTCCCTTCCTCCCTCCCTCCCTCCCACTCTATCTGAAGAAAAATGGAAAAATATCCTTGGGTGAGGATTTAAAAAAAAATTTCCCTGCTATCTTTGGTGAGGCTACTTTGGTGAGGCATGTGATGTCAGCTGGTATTGACTCGTAGGCCAGACATTCCCACCCCTGCAGGGTATGACTGTCTCCCACATGGTCCACTGTGTCCCCAACATGTAATATACTACAGCTGGCGTATGTGGGTGTCCAGTGGATGTTGTGCTAAATGGGTGAATGAGCATCACATCATTGATGGCTTATGTCTCAAAAAATAAATTTGAAGTCTGAAAAAAATAAATGACCAGTTACAGGAAAGTTAAATTTTAAATTATTGCAGGACTAACATAGTTTGTATTGTGAGAAATGTTTGAAAGAATGAATGAATGAACTGAAGAAAGACTGGGCGGTGTTTACCTGGTTGCCTAAGCCGGGGGGACCACAGGAAGGACAGACAGCGCCCTTTTCCAAAGGCTCCTGGGCCGGCCTCTCCTCTCTCGCTCACTTCGTATTACCTTTCCTCCTGCCCACTTCCCATTCCTTCACCCTCTTCCCTTTCCGGTATCCCACGTCCCCAGTTTGTTCTCATCCAAATGCATAAATTCCAGTTCAGTATTGTTCTCCCCACCCCCACAGCAGGGCTGGACCTGTGCTCGGGAACCCCATTCTCATGCTGTCTACACCGCCTCACTACTCAGCACACCGGGGGAACGCAGTTAATAAGAGAGGTCAAGATTCTGTATTTATCACCTTTGCTGAACAACGTTTAATGGCTTCTTTGTTTCAGAAGTGAGTTCAGTGTTTGGTTTTCCTCCTAAAAAATAAATCAGGTTTGATTGGGGGAAGGGGCTTGAATCATTCTCGATCCCCAAATAGGCCAGTAGCTTCCAGTGTCAGCGTCCGAACCTCTTTGTCCTGATGGCAGCTCGTGTTCGGGTAGGAGGAGGAATCAGGCACCGTGTGCTGTCTGTCGAGGGGTCCATGGTGAGAAATGGGTGTCTTGGCGCTGGAGGATTTAAAAGGTTTGAATATTCATAAGGTCTTATCTGAGCCACTCACTGGTTATTAGTTCTTCACATTAAGTTAAAGATATGTAAATCCTTAGAGGTTCATGGCACATCCAGGCTGAATAAATCCGAACCTCTAAAAAAGAATCGGCGCGTTGAATATTCTGTCGATGTCTGTTCCTCCTTCTCCGTGGCCGCTCATCTAACAATGCGTTTCTTTCTCATCCCGCCTTCCAACATAGGATGGCAAAGGCCCAGAGAACGTGGTGATCACTTCATCTCCCAAACTGCATTTGATCTAGTTTTCTGTTTATACCATTTATCTTCTTGTGCTTCAAGCACTTTCCCTGACGAAGACTGCTTTGAAAGCAGGACACCCACACTCGGTATCACTGCGTTCATTTTTCTTACGTTTTGGCTTGAATTATGGTGCTTTTAATATTCATGAGGTTTGAAAAAATAAACATCCTAGACGATTTCCTCTGAATGGAAATGTTATGGTTTCAGACCCCAGAGAAAACAATTGGGAAGTTCTACAAGCCCACATTTTCTGCCGGTCAGTTGGAAAGTCGCTCCAGCTTGGCAGAAGTAACCACCTCCTCGACGCTGCTGGGCTTCCCGGACCAGATGGCTGGGGCCTGTGTGAAGCAGAGGCAGAGAGACAGCAGACGTGCATATTTAAAGACTCCCTTTGGAATAATAGATACCAGCATCCTTTTCATTGATTTAAAATGATATCATTTCTGTCACTGAAGAAGGTAGAAGAATTACTTGTTCCGTTTACTTCTCTGTGTTCAAATGGAAATTGTCGACATTTCTCAGCCTCTCTGCTTACTTTACATTAACCCTGTATTGATGTTTACCTCTAAAATGAGCTCAACCAATCCCTAAAATATTTTAAGAAATATAGAGGAAGAACTTTCCACAAATTTGAGAACCAGTCTTTTAAGGAAAAGAAAGTAATTATTCTAGGTAATTAAAAAAAACACCGATAATCAAAAGTGGTGTTTCAATAATAGAACATTGTTCTAGGTTTCATGCTTGCTGGAGTCAACCCCATGAATTTCCGTGTATTGACTCTATCATGTTGCCTGAGGTGACCTTCCCAAGTTCACCCATTCTGTCCTGATTGGAGCCCCCCCCCCCCCCATCTCTATCAGAGGATTGTTCCGTGTCCCACACTGATGATCGAGCTGTCTCGCACACCTTTCACGTCACGTTCCTCTGTCTCCAAACTCCTCGTATCATCTCGGGTCTCTTTCTCAGGAACTGTGTCAAGTCCCTGTGTGCTTAGTGCTAGCTACCCCTTCCCTAGAAGTGGCTGACTCAAATCCATTAACAACTTCTTTCTTTCCTGCCACACCACTAAGGATGCTGCAAACAAAACTCTTTGGGTCCCCACCCCCTCTTGCAGCACTAGGGGAAGTTGGCCAGGGGCCAGCGCAAGGTGGAGCTGGCGGGGCTACTTCTAGAACAAGACCGTAAAAGCCAGGAGACTTGATAGCACTGAGAAGCAAATACCGACTTCTAGAAATATTTTAGGAGAAAACTCAGCCACTCTCTGTTCATTGAATTTTTAGTGACACGCAGACAAACAACCTAACTGATTCACCCTCTCCCCAAAACAAAACAACTATAAAACCTTGCCTAGCCCTGGCCAGTTTGGCCCAGCAGTTAGAGCGTCAGCCATTGGATTGAAGGGTTGCAGGTTTGATTCCTGGTCAAGGGCACATAACCTGGGTTGCAGTTTCGATCCCTGGCCCCAGTCTGTGTCGTGCGGGAGGCAATCATTTGATGTGTCACTTTCTCTCTCTCTCTCTTTCTCTCCTCCCTCCCTTCCACTCTCTCTAAAAAAAAAGACAATGGAAAATTACCCTCGGGCCTGGCCATTGTGGCTCAGTGGTTAAGTGTCATCCCATGCACTAGGAGGTTATCAGTTAGATTCCCAGTCAGGGCACATGCCCGAGTTACAGGCTCCATCCCCAGAAGGGGGCTTTCAGGGGGGCAGCCGATCCTTGTTTCTCTCTCATCAATGTTTCTATTTCTCTCTCCCTCTCCCTTCCTCTGTCTGAAATCAATAAAAACGTATTTAAAAAAGAAAAATATCCTTGGGTGAGAATTAACAACAACAACAACTACAAAAACTTGCCTAATCCTAGGTTTTTATTTTTATATCATTTTTTTTTTTACATATTTTATTGACTTGTAGAGAGTTAGGGAGAGGGAGAGAGAGAGAGAAACATCGATGAGAGAGATACATTGATCAGCTGCCTCCTGCACGCCCCCTACTGGGGACTGAGCCCACAACCTGGGCATGTGCCCTGACTGGGAATCAAACCAGGACCTCAGTCCACGCGACAATGCTCAGTCCACTGAGCCACACCAGCTGGGCCCTGTACATTTTTAATTTGACTGTCTTTGATGGCTCCTTCCCTAACATGAGCTCCCACGAGCACCTTCTTTGTCTTCCCCTTAAACTACTCTGAGCTCTGTTTCAATCGAGCATGTGGAGAAGAACCTACCCTTGCTCCTCCTCCCTCACAGTCCTCTCCTCCTCCTGCCCTGGGCTGAAGCCCTCAGCCCTAACTTTTCTCTCGCAGGTTACAAGTGTCCCGGACCCTGGAACCTGTGGGTCCTGATCCTCCTCTGCCTCAGCCTCTCTGCAGCATTCGACGTGCTCCTCTCTGCCGTGCTGAAGTCCTCCTGTGCTCCCGGCTCTCCTCCGCCCCTCCAGCCTTACCTGCTCCTTTTCCTCCTTTTCCCTCTAAAATGTAAGGTTCCCTTAAGGTTCTGTCGGATGTTTCTTCTTCCTGCTCTCACCCTTGCTAATCTCGTCTCCTCTACGTCCAACTTCAAATATTACTTCTCTGTGACTAACTCCCGAGTTTCTTCCACTCGGGCCCAGCCTATGTTTCCATCTCCAGCTTGTAGATCTTTACTTCAGGTCTTCCTGGGATCTCCCTCGTCCTCGTCCCTGAAACTCGAATTTCTAGCATCAAATCTTACCGATTTTCTCCCAGCAAAAATGTTCCCACCTTTCCTGTGTCTATTTCCTGTGCTATCCCGAAATATCTTAATTCATTTTCTGTTTCAGTCTATCCTCGGGTAGATCACCACCCGGGCACCTCCCTCTCTCTAACCGCCATGCCCAGTTCATCACGGAGCCCTGTTCATTATCCCGCCCACATGACTTCGTCCATTGCCTCTTCCCCGGGCTGTCACGCGGCACAAGCCTCCCCATCACGGCATTGCTACCGCCAGCTTGGTTCTCTGCTTCTAATCTTGTTCCTCTCTCCTCTGCTTTTGGAATGTTCTTTTCTGCATCTAGAATGTTCTTTTAACAATGTAGGTCCAGTTATACTCCTCCCTCTTTCAAACCTTTTCATGATTTCGAATTTTATTTAGAACCAAAAATCCTTTACATGGCAAATAAGACCCAGACTGACCTAGTCCCAACTGCCTTGTCTTCATCACAAAGCATTGTCTGGCCATCTGCTCATCTTTCAGTTCCCCACATTCGCTTATGTCTTTCCCACCCCAGGGCCTTTGCATGTGCTGTTGTTTCTACGTACAACACTCTACACCCATTACCCCACTCTCTTGCCAACTTCTGCCCCGTCTTTTGGGCTCAGCACAAAGGATATTTCTTAAGAGAAGCCTTAGGCCCCCTCATTATTCTCTGTAATGGCATCAGACTCTTTTCCTTAATTGCCACTGATGACAAGAATGTCCACTGTGTTGTTTGTTTAATGTACCCCAGTCCCTAGAATGTAAGCACCTGGAGATGAGGAACCTGAAACACGTCTGTCTTCACATGCCCAGCAACTAGCTCAGTGCTACAGATCACAAGGGTTCCCCAGTGCTTCGCAGATGAGTGACAGATGGTGGCTCCGTGTCATCTCCCTGCCTGCTGAAGGGAGTCTCAGCTCCGCCTCTTGTCCAAGGGTCTCTGTGGTCTGACCGCAGCCGACCTTTCCCGCCTCCCCTCCCGACTCCCACGGACGGGGGTGTGATGAGCAAATGGAGCTCTTTGTGCCACCTGCGTAGCTTTGTTGCTGCTGAGCGTCTCTGGGGAGCAAGTTCCCTCCCATTTTCGTCTTTTACCCTCCCTATTCGTCACCAGTCCAGTTCCTGTCGCTTTATGATGCGTTTGGATTTGTCCAACCAGAAGTCACCTCTGCCTCTCTCGCTTTCCCGTGGTACATTGCCGCATCTTCATTTTGGCTCTTACCCTGTGCTCTACAGAAATTGCGCGTGCTTTTCTTCTCCTGAACGTAATGGAAGGTGCTGGAGAAGCGCTGTGTCCCCTGGCCTGGGTGCCCAGCACGCGGCTGCGCTCAGGGCCTCGGCGGGTGGACATGCTGGAGAACAGGCGGCGGCGGTGGCAGGTGCTCCGCCGGTCACTGGGGCAGGGAGAACGCTGCGCATCTGAAAGGCCTGAACCAGACGGAGGTCATCGGGGGAGGAATCTTGAAGTTCTTGGCCAACCCCAGAGAAGAAGATACTTGATAAGAAATGTTGAGTAGCCGCCAAGAAAGAGTAGAACCAGAGTTTAGGTCTTATAATAAAGTTCCCTAAAGGGTGCCCCATGACAGGACTTCATTCCCCTAAAAATAGCAGCAGCACTAACGTACGCTGGCTCAGCTGGCCGAGGGGATGCCGGGCCGACTATGGACTCCGTCTCTGAGAGGAACTGGAACAGAGAAGGCCCCGTGTGGTCCTTTGGAAAGAGCGCCTCCCCCAGCCTCTCGGCGTCGGTCAAAGAAGAAACCCCAGTCTGCTTGGGGATTCTCTGCTGCCTGTTCTGTTGCAGCTTCCCACAAGAAAGAAACCTTTTCATCACTTGAGTAATCACTACCCCCTCCCACAAAGGAAAATAAACAGAAAATTCTCCCTTTGGGTTGACTGAGCATCGGTGGTAGTTGCTCGAGCAGAGATCAAACCAGGAGACTTGCGCCTTGTGGTCATTGGCATCAAAGGCCACAGGTTTCCTTTCTGCCTGATTTTAATATGCTGCGAGCCTTGGGAGGCTTGATTAAAGCTGCAGGGAGCCAAAGCAAGCATATAAAGGAACTGTTTTGATGCTTCAAAAACCCAAGCAAACAGAATCTGTATTATTCAATTAGGTGTGCGTATGGGATTTGTCCTGGGTGTTTTGACTGCTCAGGGCCTGCTGGGGAAGGCAGTCATGGGGTTGAGACCTGAAAGGAACCATGTTTAACGCCCTCCCAGATTCTACTTTTCATCTCGCGGAGGCTGCGCGGCACCGGGCATTACCGAGAGCTGTGCGTGAACTTCTGCTCTGACTTCTGCTTGATCTGCTTCTCCTCCACTGACCCCGGGTCCGCGGCAGGGCCAGCCCCACTGCCCGGCCTGGTTCTTGGGTTCCTGTCCACGTGACCCGGATGTTCTTTGTTTCAATATGACTCAGGGTGGCCTCAGTATAGTATGCGCTTTGGAAAACGGGCCCTCCCAGCTAGACCACTTCCTGTGTGTCCTGCCTTCAGCGAGTCACCGAATCTTTGTGCCTTGTTATAGCACATGCAGGATGGAGCTTGGGGTGGTGGAAACTGCCAGCCTCACGGCGTTGACCGCGTCCATTCAATGAAAGAGCTCGTGTTCAATCCTTAGCACAATGCCCAGCTCAGGATGAGTGTTCAGTAAGTGGTGATAATCGTCACGATTATCCCAGGACACAGGTAGGTTCCTCCCTGTTGGCTGCTGTCAGCAGATCCGGGGAAGACCAGAAGGGCCGGGCACCCAGGTCCCCAAAGGCATGGCGTGCACCCGGACCGAGAAGGCCTCGAAGGTCACATGGGAGATGCCACACGGACAGCTGAGGTCAGTGGAGCGCCTGTCCCCGTGACTGGCTTTCCCAGCAGGCATTTTAAGTGACAGTGACAGCTGCTGCCAGTTGGCCGTGACATCCTGGGACTCTGGGAGGACAGCATTCGGATCAGGGTGGCAGTCATGGAAGGTAAGGGCAAGCAGCCATGCGCCCGTGGCCGAGGCTGTCCGAACTCTTGGGGGGCACTGCGGGCCCCGGTGTACTTCTCACCAGTCAGCTCACAACAGACCGTGTGCTGAGGGCCTGAGCCACCGCCCGACTGCTGGGAAGCCGCCTGCGAGGAAGGCTTTTCCCGACACCAACTGGAGTCCAGAAAAAATCCCACGTCAGTGGCTGGAGATTTGCAAACAGGTCGCCTGGATGGTGCCCACGTGCTGGGCCTCATCTTCCTTTTCAGGTGTTTGTCGTCCAACAAAGCAGGCACTGCGGAATGTGTGGTCCATATGGATAGCCTGTATAGAAAGCAGTTCCTCCTCCGTCGTCCCTAGTGGATCTGTTAGGAAGTGGCTGCCTGTGACATACCAGCTGCTGCAGTACTGGGATGTGGAGAGCACACCCTGGCCATTAGGCGGCTTTCGGTCTAATGAAGATGAGTAAATAAGGAAGCGTAGCATTGAACGCGTGCAAACCCACAGGCCCCGTGGAAAGCGCATGCACTCGACTCCGTGGGCCTAGATCAGATGGCGGCTCTTACCTCTGGCCAGTGGTATGAGCGTAGGAAGATCACGTGACCTCTCTGAACCAAACTTTCCACACCTCTGGACTAGAGGATAATGTTCTTCGTGTAGGGTCATCTGTGTGTGTTAAACTAGGGCCAGGCCAGTAACTAGCACGGCGCCTGACAAGTGGTCGTCATGCAAACAGTGGTCACAGTGAAGCTGACATCATTCCAGAGGAACACAGGGGACACGGCACACAGGCCTGCCTGGAGACGCAGAGGAGGATACTGGCCCTGAATTTGGAGGAGGAAGAGGAATACTTAGAGCAGCTGCAACGTGGGGCACCATCGGCTGAGCTGAGAACAAGATGGGCACAAATGAGCACTTGAAGGTCTAGGGGACATGCAGACATCCCCGTGGCTGGAGTGTAAGTGCTGGTGACGGAAGGCCGAGGACAGGGTTTTGAATGATAGGGGCCTCCAGTGCCACTCTAGAGTCCGAGACTGACAAATTTACAATGTACTAAAAATTCCCGGGCCAAGTACTAGGCAATGTATATATGTTATTAGATGCCCATAACCGTCCTGCAAAGATAAAATAGCATCATTTTATAGATGTGTAAACCCAGGCCGGAGCAGATTGTTGCTAAGTCATTACACTCACCATATTAGCTTATGGTGAGTTAGATAGGCTGCCTACCCGAAGGACAGGGTATCTCATTTGGTATTTTATGTTAAATTTTGTTGCCTGTTTGTTTCATTTCACTCATTATTCTTTGGATACATTTGGAACAAAGCAATACTGTAAAAAAATAAACTGTCCCTGCCCTGGCCAATTTGGCTCAGCAGTTAGAGCGTCAGCCTGCAGACCAGAGAGTCCTGGGTTTGGTTCCTGCTAAAGGCATGTACCTCGGTTGCAGTTTGTCCCCGACCCCTGTTGGGGTCATGTGGGAGGCAACCAGTCGATGTGTCTCTCTCACATCAATATTTCTCTCTCTCTCTTTCTCTCTCTCTCTCTCTCTCTCTCTCTCTCTCTCTCTCTCTCTCTCTCCCTCCTTCTCTCCCTTCTGCTCTATCTGAAGATAAATGCAAAAAATGTCCTCAGGTGAGGATAAAAATAATAAACTGTCCATACTGATAATCCAACTTGAATAAGTGTGGTCCCTTCCCCTAGCTGGGCGGTGGGTTAGGTGGAAATAGAGGTGGCTTACTATTATGGTGCAATTCACTGATACGAAGATTCATTTATACTTTGGATCATATTGTTCTCCCAAATAAATCAAGCGTTATATTAAAAACAGCACACTATATTTTCATTTTTTTTATGATAGGTATTAGGCTTGAGTCCAGAATAAGGTATATGGGGCACTGGATTGAGATTGAAGCTATGGGGTTCCTGAAATGTTGCATGTCACCCAGAAAAGAGTAGGACTCCAACCAACTTCAGATGGACCGTCCTCAGTAAGAACATTGGAAAAGTACACGTTAGCATCAACTCTAGGAATTTGGGGTATGTAATGAACCCAAGTACCCAGGGCTGTGTAACCTGAACCGCTATCCACCTCAACCCCTCGAAATACTCAACACATTTATTTTGGACGCGTTCTAAACAGGTGTTTCCTCTATGTCGCAAATGGTTTAAACTAGAGCCTCGCTCATGTCCGGTGTGCTCAGCTGAAGTCACAGGGCCAGCTGACGCGAGCATGTTCGCTCATCTGTGCTGACGCTGACAGCCAGAGCGCGCGATTCCCACGTTGGTCAGCGCTGGACAGAGAACAGATGTTGGGGATTATGAGGAAGGATTCGGGGAGGCTGTGGGCCCGAGTGTCTGCGGAAGTAATTTATTGTGGAGACACAGAAAGGCTCCGCAGAACCTTCGGTGAGAAGTTCGTGGAACAAGCCTCAGTGGGCCTGCGAATCAGGGCTCCAAACAAATGTTCTCCTGGGTCCTTTAATGGAAAGAAACATAGTAAATCATCATCTTTGAGTCACACTGAATGGAGAAGGGAAGAAATCCTGGTCCCATGAATTTTCGTTTAAGTTCTAATCTATGAATTAATTAGTGGGATCTTGACGCCGAGGTCAGAGGAGCGTATCCCTGGAAGATAGTTTGCAGAGAAAGGTTGGCTGCCCCGCTCCCCCTTGGGAACATTCCTGAAGGCGAGGCTCAGTTATCCCAAGATAACACAGAGCTCTTTCTTCCCAGCCATTGCTGGCTGTCCTGGAATTTCTTTGTCTGGCCGCTCCACCCGTGGTATTGTCTAACCCTCGACTCAGCTCACTACCCAAAACACTGCGATTCGCAGGCTCAACGCCTAGACCGCTGGAGGTTATGAAAGTCTCCGTGTCTGCTCGGTGGACCGCCGTGACCTCGGCTCACTGTGTCACTGCTCTGTGGAAAGCGAACCAGAGATAACTTCCTTCTCTCTGAAGTGTTTTTGGGTAGCGCTCTATCGATTTAATGAACTTCAGTCTGATACTTCTCATAGCAGTCCAAATGTGTTTGCTGGCAGATCTCAGTGTTATTGGTTTGAAAATCAGATTATTTCAAGAGCTGAAAAGAAAGGGGAGATATAATGAGAACTGTCTTGACCAGGAAGGGTCATCTAAGAAAAATTTAGAAATAAGACAAAGTATTTCAATAGGGATTCTTAAGATGAATCATATTCAGAAAAGATGTTTTTCTGATTGTTATCCTCCATTGTTTCCATTGCCAACATATCTGTAGCCTGTTAAGGATTTCACTACAAAGACTTACAGGCACTGTGACTGCCTTGGAGTTGATCTGAATTATTTGTTTTTGTTTTCTTCTAAGAATGTGCTATACATGTTGCTTTTTCTGGGAATAAACATATACATGTTCTGCTAGGGAGAAAGCAAGTAGTGAATGTGGAGAACGAAGGAATTGACAGTAGCTTACTAACAGATATTTTCAAAGAAAAAAGAAATAAAGGAGACATAACATTGTTTATCATTGCCATTAAAGAACACAGTGAGTACGTAATAAAAATATGAGGAAAACGAAGTGGATCCTTGCAATAAGTAGTCTATGATTCAAAATCTCAAATGTATCAGGAGAATTCATTCATTCAATCAGCTAGGAGTTCTTTCTTTGAAAAACAAACAAACAGACCAAAAAACCCAGCAACTCAAAGTAACCTCATTTTTTTTGTTTTTTATTATTATGTTTTTTATATTTTTTTTTAATCCTCACCCAAGGATATTTTCTGTTTATCTTCAGATAGAGTGGGAGGGAGGGAGACAGAGGAAGAGAGGGAGAGAGAGAGAAAAACATTGATGTGAGAGAGACACATCGACTGGTTGACTCCTGCATGACCCCAACCAGGGCCGTGGATAAACCACAACTGTGGTACGTGCCCTTGACTGGAATCGAACCCACGACTCATTGGTCCACGGGCCAACGCTCTAACCGCTGAGCCAAACCGGCCAGGGTGCGTTGGTTTTTTCAAATGCAAAAAAAAGGATAATTATTGTATTTTGTTTCTCCTCTGAAAACATCTTCATTTCTCCTAAAGTAATAGACATCTAGGAAGACAGTTCTATTAAAGAAAAATAAATCCCTCAGAGCTTTCAACATTATTAAGGAAAACAAAGACCAAAGAAAAGGTCTGGACGATGTTCTGAAGAGTAGATGATATCAAATGTGATTGACATATTAACCCAGTTGTGCGAGAGGAGAATGTCGAAGATGTAGGAGGCTTTCTATAGGAGGATCAGTCCAAGGTATTCATGTTTGCTTATATCTGAGAATTTTAAAACGAGGGAAGCTGGACTGGAAAGATAGATTGAAATATATGGGAAAGGAAATATAGCTGAAGTGTTTGTATTAGGGTATGATGGAAAAAAATGGGTCTGTTTTATGTAAATTTCCAAGTGACTTGGTAAAGAAAGTCAAGCGGACATTAATTAAGTTTACAGAGCCAGAAAAGGTGGGGACCCAGGAGGTTATATGTAAAAAATACAGATGGACTGAGAGAGATGAGAGGAAATGGACAAACTTTTACAACATGATATTCAGCTTGGAAATATGCAAGCCAATACGATGGGGAAAACTAGCCAGAAGACAGATAGCCGGTTTAAAGAAAAAGTTAATAAAATGTTGAGTCTGAAAAACTATACAGACCAAAGCCAGGAAATTACAGAGTTATGTATCCCACAGTAACTGTAAATTAACCCCATTGCACATATGTAGTATTTCACATTACCGTAGATGGTGTTAACTTTCACACCTAAACATGCGTGTGTGTGTGTGTGTGTGTGTGTTTCGTCTGAATCACAGCTGTAATGGGAACAAAGGTGCGAACAGGACACGTAATGGATTGCCTGCTCTTTTCACAAGTCACCCAGGAGCTCTCGAGCCCAAGCTGCTCGTACACCTCAGAACGGGGCCGAGGGGGAGCCCAGTGTTGATTCCAAGGCCGTCGTTCACTGAAAGGGCTGGGCAGGTACCAGCATTTCCTAACAACTGTACAGAAGTCACGAATGTCCTGGGTATGTGGACGGAAGTCTGTACATTCCCGGGAGAGCACACTGGGCTGAAATATACCCCCACTCTAGCGTCTCCTGCCCTTTGCTTGCCTCATATCTGTCTGTAACCTGCTCCTTTTACCCGTTTTTTGCCCAGTTATCATCCATTTTTCCTCTCCCTGTACTTCATGTTAGGCTCATTACAGGAGTTAAAATAGTTTTCCTTTAAAGCATTCAATCTACTGATCCGGTGGATTGTTTACTTAAACACACACACACACACACACACACACATTTTTATGCCCAGCCGGTGTGGCTCAGTGGTTGAGCTTCGGCCCATGCACCAAGAGGTCACTGGTTCGATTCCCAGTCAGGACACATGCCCAGGTTGTGGGCCCGATCCCCAGTAGGGGGCATGCGGGAGGCGGCCAGTCGATGTTCTCTCTCATTGATGTTTCTCTCTCTCTCTCTCTCTCTAATATCAATAAAGGAAAAAAATTAAAAACACACACATTTTCAATCAACGTATACAGTATATATTCCAAAGATAGCTCTCATGTCAGACACAGGACCAGGATGCAGGAGTCTACATGCTTCTTCCTGAAGCATCCTCCAGGCTCCAGGCCATTTCTCTTCTTGTCCGCTTACAGCATCTTCCACCTTTGTCAGACGCACACTGATTTTCTCTCCTGACTTTTGCTCCACATGGGGGATTTTTCCACCTATGTGGACAGTCCCTGTGTTTATTGTGTCTTCCTAATCCTCTGATTTCCTCGGCTCCTGAGGTTCTCCTCCACAACCACCTCCCCTTACCTGGCACTGCCACGCTGGTGTCCTCTGCACGCTGTCGGCGTCGGGTTCCGTGGGGCTCACAGCAACCCCGTTCTGCCGCCCCAGGCCCTTGTTCCCACTGACACCACTCTCCAGTCCTCGTCATGACTGCCGTCTCAACCTGCCGTTGCTGTCCAGTGGGTACCCAGTGAATATCCTCTTATTTCTCCCAGTCTTCATCTTCCTCCTTTCCAGCCAGGCTCCCAAATCAACTATTTACATGGTTCATGCATTCTCCTCCTCAGTTCCTTTGCCCTCCTTGGTTCTGACTTCTCTGCCTTGCTGAGCTCTGTGCTGTTAGGCTATCCGCACTTTTAGGGGAAGTCAGATGATGTGTAGCCTCATCAGATTCATCTGCCTGTGCTGGAGGTCGGGCTCTCGTTGGTATCATGAGATCGATTTATTTGACTTCCTGTTCTCCAAGCAGCATTTTCCAAAGGATTTTCCCTCCTCTGCAGCCCCAGACCACTCTGTGCTGAATGCATGACTTCACCTACTCACTCAGGGGATTGAGGTCACTTCCCACTGGTTTCTTCCACATCCTCCCGGCCACCCAGACATCTCTTCAAATCGCCATCATCTCATGCTGACTTCCTCCCACCTCCAAGTTCGCAACGACCCTTGAACTTCCGAAGCCTGGTCTTGGACTCAGCTCCCAGTGTCACGCCCTCTCGCTCACTCTGGGACCGCACTCCACACCCCCCCCTTCCCTGCTGCCATCTCGGCACCCTTGCCCTTCCGTCTCTGGCTGCCTCCCTGCCCACTCTCACTCATGCATTGTCCTGGCTCCCTCCCCCCCCCATGTGCTCCCCAAAATGTCCTCACCTTCAAAGCGCAGCTCCATCCTGGGTCTTCCTCCTCCCTGACCAAGGCTTAACTATATCCTGACACCTTTCCTAATCTCAAGCCTCCTCTCACTGTGTATTACCTTTGCTCACAGGCTCACCCATCGCTGTGGCCCAAACGACCCCTAAGTATGGAGGCTGGCCCACCTCTGCGGTGTGAGAGCGTGGGCTCCGGGGTCCGATGACAGGCTCCAGCCCTGACCTGGCCACGTTACGTGACCTTTCCTGCCAAGTTATGCATCTGTGGGCGGGAACGGCACCAGGGCCTCCCTGCCGGGGGGTTGGGAGAGTGAAACGAGCCCACCCACGAAGAGGGCACACACGCGCACAGAGTGAAGGCCGCTCGTGCCTGGTTGTCACCGCTGTCCTCGTCATCTCCCCGCTCACCTTACTGTGACCTCACACTCATGTGTCCCTAGCCTCTTTCCAAATCCAGGGCTCCTTGCCAGCCCCTGCTCGGGCCTGTGCTGCCCCTGCTCGGCTGCCCCTCGACCCATCGAGGCTCCTCTGTCCCCACGGCCACTTCAGGGGCGCTCTCTTGGCCTCCCAGAATCTGCTCCCACTTCGCGAGCTCCCCTAAGCTGGCACCTTGATTGGGTTCCGTCCAAACGCCCTTCCATAGCTTTTTGTCGTCTCTGAAGTGAAATCGAAACCTCGCAGCCCAACATGCTCTCCTTCCTTTTCAGGTTTGCCCCCTCCTGTGCCCGAAGCCAGGCACAGTCCCTTTAGCAGAACATGCTCCCGATTGGCCGTCAGGCCCGCTCTTCCGGCCAGAGGGCCTCCCACCCCCCGCAGCTGGCTGGATCCTCCGTGACCCCCACAGGGTCTCTTACGGAACCAGTGTGACCCCACTCCGCTCCTCCCATGGTGACCCCAAGCTGCCAGAGAACCAGGACTGCCCCCTCGTGCCCCGTGTGGTCCCAGCACATCCCAGGCGGAACCGCACCTTTGTGAACTCACACCTGTGAATCCACATCCTGTCAGCCCAGCACTCGGTGCGGGGCCCACACAGCTGTGCGTCCGCTGGGGCCTTGGAATACACGTGTTCAAGCTTGGGACAGGTTCCCCCAGGGACAAAGGACACGGAATTAAATACCGGGTCAAAGGTTCTTGCACTGCTGGCCTCGTGTCTGTTTGAAAAGGAGTAAAATGTTAGCTGTAGTGTTGGGTCCCCCAGCTGCCCTCCCAGTCTCGTTCCCCTTGAAACAGAAATGCTGTCATTTCTTTAATGTTTACTATTTTCATGCATGTATTATGTACGTATAAACCTAGCGAAATATAAACAATACACAGACTTGATTTTTGCAGGGTTTTGAAACTTTATATAGATTGTATCACATACACCTTTCCCCTCAACACTGGGTTGTTTGGGGTTTCCCCCCCACACTGTTTTTGACATTTATCCATAGTGATATGATTGTAGTACATTCATTTTAATGCTCTTTTTAGTTATGTAAATATGCCAAAATTTATTTATTCTCCCATCGATAAACATTTACACTTCCATTTCTTTGCAAGTACTGAAAACGCGACGGCGCTCACGCCGGCACACGCGTGTCTGAGGACGCGAGGGAGTCCCCGGAGCAGAGCCGCGGGTGGAGCACCTGGGACGGCTCGTGTGTGGCTTTTGTTTGTTTACCTTCGTGGTGTCTCGAGATGCAGGAGTTTCCATTCTCATGCAGTCGGGCTCCTCTTCCCTCCTTCACGGTTTCTGCCGTTTGGTGTATTTTCTGAAAGCTAATCGAGGCCGTAAAGCTATTCTCCTGCGTGTTCTCCTGGAAGCTTCGCCTTTCGCCGTGAGGTCTGGGATCTCCCTGGAGGGGTGTGCGCACGGTGTGACGCGGGGTGTGCGTGGGCGTCTTCCACCGGGACGAGCAGCCGTCCTTTCCCGGGACGTGCAGGCCGCTGGCCGCTGCGTCCAGTGGTGTCCCCGGGGCCTCCGTGTCCAGGCAAAGTCTCTGGTGTTGCGTCGGAGGGGTCGGGCTGAGCAGAGAGGGGCCTGGCCATGCTCTGGAGCCATGTTTAGAGGAATGTGAGCATGTGCCTCCAGGTTCGGAGCCTGGAGAGCATCGGAGGTGGTCTGTGATCCCTGTGCAGGCTTGGTCTCTGGAGAACTGCTGTGTGTCCACTGGAAGCCTCCTCCGCTCACTCACCTCACTTTCCTTCCATAAAAATGACTATTTTCGCCCAGTCGGTGTGGCTCAGTAGTTGAGCGTCAACCCATGCATCAAGAGGTTGCCGGTTCGATTCCCGGTCAGGGCACATGCCCCGGTTGTGGGCCCGATCCCCAGTGTGGGGGCATGCAGGAGGCGGCCAATCGATGTTCTGTCTCATCGATGTTTCTCTCTCTCCCTCTCCCTTCCTCTCTCTTTTAAATCAATAAAGAAAGAGGAAAATTTTTTAAATAAAAGACTATTTTCCAACCTGTCAGTGCCCTCTCGGATGCTCTGA